GGCACCTGTTTTTTAAATTGAACCTTTTCTTTCAGATTTAGTAGAGTAGTTTTCGATAAAAGCCACCAAAGGTCAAAATTAAAAAAAGACTTTGTAGGTCCAAAACTAAGGCCCTTCAAAAACTTAGGGCGTCGCTACTTTTGCAGAAAAATTTCAATTTCCTTTACTTTTCAACTAGGACACTAACATGAGATTTGACAGGGTCGTTTTTGAGAAGTTTAAAAAAGGACATTTGCTGAGCCCAACATAGCTTTTCTACAAAAAATTAGAGCTTAGCCGCTATGCAGGTAAACATCCTAGAGCATAATTTTTCGATTGAAACCGTTACCTAAAATTCGAAGGGATATATATTTTTAAAAAAAACTTTGAAAAATTAGAAAAAAAAACGGTCAAATTTCAGTTCAAAAATTGGAATATTTCGAGTGTTTTAGAGCCATTTTTGAGGTCTGGGGTATTTTAAAGAAAAGCGTAAGTTTCCAATCGCCAAAACTTAAAAATGACAAAATCGTTTGAATCGCCAAACCTTAAAAATGAAAAAATGAACTAAGTTTATGGCTATAACTTTTTCTACTAAAAAAAAACAGGGTGTATCCGTTCATGCAGGGAGAATTTAGAACACCAGTTAGTGCGATTGAACACTTGATCTCAGATTTTTGGCAAAGTAGTTTTCGATGAAAAAGGAAGTTTCCAAGAAACGATAAAAATTTCAAACGTTGGGCATCATCTAAGGCTTTTTGTTAACCCCCGGTCCAGCTCAGTGCAGGACCCACCGTGTGGGAGGAGGCGGATGACTCTGGGACCCTCCAACCGTGACCGAAGTGGGATTCAAACGCATGACTATCGTGATGAGAGACGTGTGCCTAAGGCTAGAAATCGTTTTCTACAAAAATAAAAGCGTAGCAGCTTATGCAGGGGAGATCCCCTCATCATGTTCTTTTGATTGTCTTAATGTCAGGATTGGCAGAGTAATTTTTGATAACCAATTTTGTCGACTAGGATTGGAAAAAAACATGGCCTTGTAGTATAACTGAACAGGAACGTGTAAATAAGTGAACAGGAACGGTACAGCCTAAAAAAACTGTCTGACTATTGAAAGTGAGCTATTAGTTTTGAGCTAACTGTGATCAACTATATGGGACTTTTTTAAAAGAACGATCAAAGATCAAGTGATCTCGAGCGACATCAGTGCCTTCGAGGCGATTAACAAAGGTAATTCAATGTCCTCCGACAGCTATTGTAAAACATATTTATAACAACGATAACAATATTTACTAGCGTTGCTCCTTGCCTGTCAAAATATCAAAATCAATCCAAGCGTTCAAAAAAAAACTTGTACATAAGTAAAAGACTTCTAAAAAGAAACAAAGCTGGCTCATTAAAACAGGCAAAGTATTCATAACAACAACTCAAAATAATCAGGTGAATCAATTCTGTAGAAAAATTTTGACCGTTCAATTGTTGCCCCAGTGTGCAGATATCGCAAGAGGATATGAAAAAAACTGTTTGAAGGGTTCGTGGAATACCTATAGAGAGATCTTAGTTTCCACAAAATTTTCTAAAAAACTAAAAGAAAGACAAAAAAGAGATACAAAAACAACAAGAAAATCAGAATTCTATACTTATTACACGAGGTTTCTTATGTTTTCAATGAAAACTAATTCAACATTATTGGTACTTAAATTGAATATAGGGTCGCTACGGTGTCGCGACTTAGAACTAAAAACATATCTGAAAAAGCTTGAAAACAAATCGACGATCGCTGACCTTTTAAATCCTGATTTTCCGAAAGTGATGATTTAAATAGTTTGAATTCAGAAAGTTAATGGAGCACAATAGAAAGGAAAAAAAAAGCGGAGGGGGGTTGCATTGTACGTTCTAAAGTCTCACACTTTTATTGCCTCATGAATGAGTCAGATCTGTAAATAATTGGAACAGGCGTCAATTGATTCAAATTAGAACTCCTGAAGTGATATATCGCAAGCTCATTGAGTGATATAACTTTGAAAAAATTCAAGTTGTTTTCATAACTTGAATTGATTCTCAAAAATTTAAGGTTCTCAAGCAAGCTTAATCGGCTCATCCTCAAGGTGATAAAACTTTGAAAAAATTCAGTGATGTTTCACGGCGAGAATCGGTTCGGAAAAGCTGAAACTAGTCGAGCAATCAAGCTCAAATTCAAACTCTATTTCCATATTCCAGTCGAGCAGCTAGAAAAAACTGCAAAAGTTTGAAGCTGAATTATTGCTATTTCATGACAAAAGAGAGGTTTGGTGTATTTAATTTGCTCGTTTTAGAAACGTAAAAACTCAAGTTCAGACAAAAATTTGGCGGTTACTGTCTAGCCTTGAAGTTGATTCAATTTGAACTTGCCTAGAGTGCTGATTTTGTAAAAAAAAAAACACGAGGAATAGTCTAGAAGCAGAACATTCTTATAGTCCAGCTGAGAGTAATTTATAATTGTTAAATTGAGCCCATAGCAACTCAAAACGACCTAAAAATAAATAATCAATTATAGGATATCGTTGCAACAATTTAACTACATCAACACATTACTCTAATTTCAATACAGAGGCAAATATGCGCTCCGCAAACACAAGTGAAAAAACAAAAAAGCGGCTAAAGATTAAATAAAAAAAAAGAAAGAAGCCTCAAATTTGTAAAACTTTTGCTATGTGACGGATTCGAACCTGCGACTTTGGAGTATCACGTTCTAGCATTTGCACCACATGTTATGGAAAATATCGCAACACTAGCTACAATGATGCAGTTATAGATGTTAATAAATTGCCAATGCTATACGGCAAAAATGCAACCAAATATAAATAAAACAAGACTGCTCGTATCAGGGCGAAGCCCTGAATGTTCCGACTGCCTTTTAAGTTTTGTGGAGCAGCAGTAATAACATAAAAAAATTAAATGAAATAAAATAAAATGAAAATTTTTTTTAATTTGAAATTTTTTATGAAAATCATCCCCCCACACGCCATATAAAGTACAAAAAGAGAGATTTCGTTCCTTGTAACAAATAAATTATGGCAAATAAGCTTCGTTCAACCAATTTGGAACGATTTATAAGACGGATTAAACCTCCGCTTACGCGTTAATAGCGCGAATTATATCGCGCGTTAATTATCCCAAATTGGTCAAAATGGCCGAAATGGCAATCTTTAAACCCTCATAACTTTACGAAAAATGATCACAGGTGAAATATTTTTTCAAATTTGAGCTCAGGACAACAATACCTTTTGAATGATATAAAATAATTCCGTCAAAAATGGCTAGTTAAAAAGTCTGAAGAAAAAAAAACCCACCCCGAGCACAAATATTCCGTTACTTTTGTATCGAAAGTCGGAACAACTAGTGCTAAGTGCGGCTTTGAACTTCAACATGTAGCATAAGAATTTCGTGTCCTTTCCTTTCCATTAAGCAACAGACGCTTGACTAATGGAAAACACAAGTCTATCCGGCGAAACTGCCACCAAAGATAAACAAGACTGCTCGTATCAGGGCGAAGCCCTGAATGTTCCGACTGGGCATTAAGGTTTATGGAGCAGTAATATCATTAAAAAGTTAAAAGTAATAAAACAAAATGAATTTTTTTTTTCAAAAATTTTAAATTTTTTTATGAAAATCATCCCCCCACACGCCATATAAAGTACAAAAGGATAGATTTCGCTACTTGTAACAAATCAATCATGGCAAATAAGCCTCGTTAAACCAATTTGGAACGATTTCTAAGACGGATTAACTCTCCGCTTACGCGTTAATAGCGCGAAATATATCGCGCGTTAATTGTCACAAATTGGCCAAAATGGCAATCTTTAAAGCCCCATAACTTTACGAAAAATGATCACAGGTGAAATATCTTTTCAAATTTGAGCTCAGAACAACAATACCTTTCGAATGATATTAAAAAAATTCCGTCAAAAATGGCTAAATAAAAAGTCGAAATTTGTCTGAAGAAAAAAAAACCCACCCGGAATATTTGTGCTCGGGGTGGGTTTTTTTTTCTTCAGACAAATTTCGACTTTTTAACTAGCCATTTTTGACGGATTTTTTTTATCATTCAAAAGATATTGTTGTCCTGAGCCTAAATTTGAAAAGATATTTCACCTGTGATCATTTTTCGTAGAGTTATGAGGGTTTAAATATTGCCATTTTGGTCATTTTGAGCAATTTGGGACAATTAACGCGCGATATAATTCTCGCTATTAACGCGTAAGCGGAGATTTAATCCGTCTTATAAATCGTTCCAAATTGGTTGAACGAAGCTTATTTGCCATAATTGATTTGTTGCAAGGAACGAAATCTCACTTTTTGTACTTTACATGGCGTGTGGGGGAATGATTTTCATAAAAAATTTCAAATTTTAGAAAAAAAAATTTCATTTTATTTTATTTCATTTAATTTTTTCATGCTATTACTGCTGCTCCATAAACCTTAAAAGGCAGTCGGAACATTCAGGGCTTCGTCCTGATACGAGCAGTCTTGTTTTCATTTAAAATTCAAGGCTATCGTTAAAACTAGTAGTTAATCGCTAAATCAAGTCAATATTCAACAGAATTGCCAAATCTAGCAATTACCCGTTGACTTCCGCGATACACAGTAAGTCGAAAACCATGTCTGACGGAATTATTTGACAATCTTGAAATTCAATTAATCGTCGTCTCCAGGTAAACATTAGAAAAACAATACTAAACTTACAGCACAATAACTTGCAATGGACGGTATTAAAGAAGGATTTGCTATTTTAACTTGTCACCAACTGAGCATGTAATACCAATTTGTGTTGTGATACCTATTTTTGCATTAAAAAACAACAGAATTCGAACTGCACAACCAAATTGGTCCTAAAAACAGTTCCTAGTCCTAGATCCGATTTCTATTCAAAATGAGCGAGTTGCAAATGAAAAACTATCTTTGCAATATAACGCAGGAATGTTTCTACGCAAGAATGAAATCGATGCACACGTAGAAAGAGGAATTTGGAACAGCCCTACGCGTGCGCACGAATCTCAAATAGAAAACAAACGCACAAAGAACCGTAAATTGTACAAATTGAGCACAGATACAAAGGGTAAAAACACAAAATGATATGGATAATTTCGTGAGATCATAGTTAGAAAGACAAATGAACGAAGTGAAACAAAAAATAAAGGAAGATATAAATAAAACCATAACTTTATAAATGCATATGCAAAATACCTCTATAAGTTTAAGTATCTTTAGCATTAAAGTTAAATTTGAGTTTTACTGCGACACAAAAATTGCTTTTAACTTATTTTCTATAAAAACGATTGTTGCACTTGTTAAATCTCGACTCGACTTCTTTAATTGTCGAAACAGTTTTTTCATTTTTTGCAGTTTGTCCAAGATTGTGACCTTTATATCAAACTTGAGTTGTTCTTCAACTCGAAAGAGTTTCCCGCGCTTTTCAGAAAGGATACCGAGTGATGGAGAGTGTATCTAGTTTGGCGCATGTCACCATTTGGTAAGATTGTCATGGAGGAATTCGACGCTGTTCTAACCACCATTAATTGATCTCCTGGGTCGTCGAAATTGCTGAACTGCTGAGAGGGGTATGTACTGTTGGTTAGACTACCATTGGCAGCTAGATCTCTCTTCGCTTGTAGAATTTTGCTTTGGGTCACCTCATCAAGATTCATTCCAATGATTTCCTGGAATATAAATTTTGTATCAAAACTATCAAGTGTATACAGGGGCGGATCTAGGATTTTCTCGAGGGGAGGGGGCGGATTTTCAAAAAATTTTCGAAAGTTTTAACGACCTTTTTTTAGGTCGACCGAATTGATTTGAGCTCTCCCTAAGCACGATTTAGTTCCTGTTTTGGCCAAATTTTCTGCGCCGCAGGCAAAAATTTAAAAAAACAGTCCAAAAAAGGCACTTTTTGGAAAATTAGGCACTTTTTGGAAAATTTTGACCAAAAAATCGCGTTTTTTCGGCGTGCGCTCCACCCTCAAAATTAGTATACATTGGCGCCAAAGGCGCCTTTAGAAAAATTTTAGGGTCGGTCTGCCAAAAATGGATTTCTTAAAAAGTATCAAAGGGGGGGGGGCCTTTGGGTCGGCAGGGGGTCATTTTTTTATGAAATCTAAAAACATCATTTTTGTGTATTTCTATTGTTTGTATAAGAACTCATGTTGCCTTCCGCCTCCACGTGCAAAAGATTGTTTATCTAATCGTTTATTTAAAATTCAACGTAAGGTCTTAATTGGATTCGATTTATTCATATCTAAATGCAATTTAAAATTTAGAGAACGTTTTTTGCGACAGCTGTTCGGCAAGCAATCACAATATTGGTATTTACTTGATATTATATTGATATATCAAAAGTGATCGGTTTATGCCAAAAAACTGAAAAAGCGATAAACCTAACTTTTTATAGCTTCACTTTTGTTATAGCTTCACTTAAGCAAATATTTTCCGAGCGATTTTTTTTTACTTTTTGATTCGTTATATTTAGATGATTTCCAACTAATCGCAAGCATCATCAGCGATCAATCAATTCGGTTCAAATCAAATACTTAGGAATAAACTAACGTGATCTGCTAGATGTGCCAGCTCTCCCGTATGTAAAATATTTCTCGACATGAAACACTCAATCGCGTAGCTACATCCGATACGGTTCAAAAAAGCCGCAACACTTGTATCTGCGAAATCTCCGTGATCTCCGAAATTCAAATCTAAGTTGTCGTCCTGTGGACCCGGAGAGGCTGGCGGTGTCTCGGCCAATGCGGGGGTGGACGGTGGCGCGTTGTTATCTTCGGAGTTGTGTTGGTTCTCATTTTGATGGTCGGTTTTAATGAGAGAAGAGAGGGCTGATTCGTTATCTCTAGAACAGAATTAAATATGTTACTTTATCTCTTTCAGCTATACTTAAAAAACTCAAAATCAACAAGAAAAATTAAACCCCCAAAAAAGTTCTTCAAAATCTAATTTAAACTGAAAGTTTTTGCTACTGTTAAGAAAGATTTTTCTTACCTTTCTACTTCATTTTATTTAACACCAGTCAAAAGCTACTAGATCAAACTGAAAAGCAATACGGCAGATTTCAAAAGCGCCTTCAAATAGCTGGCTGAAACACTGGAGCACATCAAATGAAGAGGATAAAACTCACTGATTGTTAGCTGACTGTGTAGATCCCAAACTCCCTTGCAGCTCCTCAAACAAGGCCACATCTCCATTATGCACACACAGTTGCTTATAGAGAGCAGAGACCAGATTGTAGTAGTACTGTCCCTTCACTGGAATGTAGAACACGTCATTGCTGCAATTAGGGTCACTTCCATCGCCTGAAGATGTGGTGTCATGCTTGCGTCTCTTGGCTGAAGTAGGACTGCATGCCATTGCCATTGTCATTGGGTCGCGCAACGCAAGCGATTTCGATCCTATAAAATAACATCAGAAAATTAATGATTCACGGACAGCTACTAGATCGAAATGAAAAGCGTCTTATTTTGACAGACCGAATCTAAGATATTTCTAGGACTCTTTTGGAACCATACCTTTCAAATATGAGGGATCGAGTTTACATCGAGTAATAAAATGCTTCGGTCAAAACCTTCCAAACTGGACATTTTTGGGAAAAAAATAAGCAAACCGAGACAATTTTTCGAAAATTGTCTTTCAAAAAAACCCGGACTTCAGTGAAATTCGAAACCGTCCCTGCTTACCGCGTTTCTCGCCTCTTTTATGCTGTGTGCTTGGATTCAGTGCGTTCTCCTCGCTCTTTCTGTCTCTGCTCGGGCAGGCACATATCCTCACTTCAACTGCCCTCCTGCCTAACACGTGACCATCACGCTCCAGTGTGAACACCACCTGAAAATATCAAACAAGCTCAAATTTAGTTCAGACCAAAAAATCTGTTCGCTTAACCAATAGTGACAGAAAGTTTTAAAAAAATCTATTTTCAAACTTACATATCATCGCAAATTAATGGGATTTTTCGATAATATCTGCTACCAATTATTTTTTTTCTTTCAGTTTTGAATAAAAAAAACACCCGAGAGCTCACAGGCAAGTTTTACAAAGAGGCGAAGCTGAGCTTTGCACCACTTTCAATAAAAACCAGGAAAGCCGCTAAATCGGAAAAAAACGAAAACGTCGAAAAAACTAGATCTATCAAAATGAATTATTAAGTCACATTCACCCTGAAAACCCAAACACAAAAAACTTTATTTAATCGTCATATGAAAAAAATACTAGGTCAGTAAGCCTTCACACACACGCACATAAAACTTTTTTCGCTTGTCAAAAGATGCAAAATGAGGCACTTAAACCAATTTTATATAGGCACAAACCTATCAAGAGGAACAAAAGGAAAAGAAAAAAACAAAAAAAGCCAAAAATATTGTTGTCATGAAAAACTATGAATTCTTTAAAACTTTTAGCATTTTGTTCGATCCAGAGGCGAGCTTAAAAAATGTTTTCCTGAAAACTACTCAAAATTAGGTCACTATGCCAAAAAAAATAAGCCGAAATCATTTGGGCTGAATAAAGTTTTTAAGCAAAAAACAAACACAAAAAGAAAATATACGAATCAAGGCTAGTAAAATTACTAAGAGCAGAAAAAATCTAAATATTAAAAGCAACTATAATGTAAGTTGCGTAACGCAAAAAAAAATCAATTCTATTAGCGTGTAACGCACCTCCGGTGCTTCGATTGTTTAACAACTCATAAAAAACCGCATATATTGGAAACAAGATCTGCATTCTTTGAGTATACTCTGAGAGCACTCAATTACAGATGTGGTAATAAAAAATTTTATAGTTTTTTCAACTTTTTAAATTCAAACTTTGAAAAACCATTAAATTTTGTGAAGTTATATACATTCAAAAGTAAAAAAAAATGAACTGAGAAACGTGACATCTCGGAAAGTGAAACAACAGAGCATTCGCATTTGGACGCAAGATTTGAAACCCCTAAGAGTACTCTGATAGCCCTCCCCCCAATCTACAGGGTAGGGAATCTCAAACTTTGGAAAATTAATTCAAGTTTTCTGAAATTTTTTTTGAAAAAATCACAAAAAACGTCATATCTCGAAATCTAAAATGATTTGAGAATTCATGTTTTGAGGCAAGATTTGCAACCCCTGAAAACCTAAGAATACTCTGACAGACCCCACAACAAACTTGCAAACTTCAACTTAAGTTTTCTAAAAAGATAATTTTTTAGAAAGAATTTTTGCACGCTTAAGCCATATCGTATTAAGCCATTTTTGCACGCTTAAGCCATATCGTATTTGCACGCTTAAGCCATATTCTAAAAAGAATTTGTGCACGCTTAAGCCATATCGTATATTGCAATGCTTAAGATTTTTTTCCGCTTTTCCAGTTTAAATTCAAGGTTTATTTCATCAATATTGAAATTAGCAACCCAATAGTGGGATGCTGTCAGCGTTTCACCAGGTGTTGTGATTCTGACCTCCATATATGAATAACCAAATCTTTTTAATGCAAAATAATACGTTGAAAAAGCTTAAACATGGCGAGATAGTAAAGACCGTATTCAAATATATAATAGATAATGTGGCAACTCAGCCGACAAAACATAGGCAGACAAATACTACGCCGACAATTTTGTTTGAAACGGAATATTTCCCGTTTGAAAAAAAAAAACAGTTCCTGTCAGATTCGATCATAAGAACTTTTCCGTCCCAAGCGTATACGCTACCTCCATGTCAAGTGTGCCGGGACGCAAATAAATATGAATATATTTTGAACTGAGTGAGTATAAATTTACCATCTCTAATTCTGACCATTTTTTGAACGAAAATATTCACGAGAAAAAAGTCTAGAACCCGATTGCAATACGCTTGCTTATCGCAAGGGTTAAAAATCTTTTTAGGAACTGATAGAAAATGTGGACATATAATCATTGTATGAACCTGTATGGGTCTTCGGTTGAGTCCCCCGACACAGGAGCCATAGCACATGAAGTTGTAGAGGAAGACGACGAAGTCAGTTCCGACTTGGGGTGAGTCGAAGGGGACTACGACTGACTGTCTGCCATTGACTGCGTCCTCCTGGTACTCGGCTGTCGGGTGCTCACACCTGCAATTCATCAGACTAGTAAGTACATTAGAAAAAAAACTTAAGGTCAACACAGGACATAATTAAGATTCATTTTAAGGCTGAGAAGACATATTGCACCTTCAACTGCAATTTAATTCCCATCAAATATATCAGGCAATATTGTTTTCATCAATATGGCTTTTGCATAATTTTCAAAATTTCGTAAGACCGGCATCCTTTCAGAAACCCTTAAAATCCAGAAAACTTTCCACCTGTTTTTGCCACGGGGTTGTAGCTCATGTCATTGGGTTCTGAATCCTCTTATGATGACTGAGATTAAAAGAGTACCTGATGAGGTGGCTGGGCGCTGGATGTCCTTCATTGAAGGAGTCCTTGCTGTGTCCATGTGCATGATTGGGACACCTGGTGACCACCTGTTTCACGTGTTCCGGCTGTTTGAACACACTCATCGCACGCAAGTAGCACCCCTGGGGCACCCTGTGCACTGTCTGGAACTTGACTGGACAAGTGGCCGCCATCTTCACGTACAGCTTCTGCGTCTGCTCCGAGAACTGAAACAACAACAATTTGTTGTCTGACTAACTGAACCAACAGAATCGAATCGATGTAACAGATCAATTACTTAACTTCTGTTTAAAATCATGATTTACGGGTTTGGTTTTAGAAATAAATACCCTATTTACAGTCACTTTTACAATATATTTCAACTTGCCGAAAATTTTTTTAGAAAATTAAATGCACTACGGCGATTGTAGTTCGAAAATATTATTGAAGCTGCGGTGTGAAGAATCGGCCAGCTTTTTTTAAAGTCTCAATTGCTTGGCTCGTGCGAGTTCATCTTTCACATCTTTTGAAAAGAAAATGTCCCAATTAGTGTGTGTTGTTAAAAAGTATTCGCCCTGTCCTTACCGTCCATAGGGCTCCTTTTCCGGATGACATGGCCACATTCTGTGAAGAGCTGCCATAACTCATGGTGAACCCGAACTCCCCTGGATAGTCCGAGACAGAGGGAATCTGGCTGGTAGTGTCTGGACTGCATCGCTGCTAGAAAAACACTAATCTGTTAATAACTAATTAAAACGAAGTACGTAAAATCAGAACACAACATTCACAGCATAATAATTGATAATAATGTTTTCTTCTCAACATGCAAAGCACAGGCTGCTCAAATCGGTTTGAGAAAAAGTGACATAGCTTTTTGACTACCTAGTTTTTTTTGACCAAATTTTTAGCGTAGCAGTCGGATTTTGGAAAAAAAGCTGGCCAGAAAATGCAACTTTAAGCACTTTTGGAAAAAATTGACTCACAAAAAAATTTCTCAAAAGCTTTTCTACGCGCGCTCCCCCTCAAAATTAGTTTAAATTTGTGTCATAGGCGCCTTTAGAACAATTTTAAGGTCGGTCAGCAAAACTTTAGGGTAAAAATGGATGTTTTAAACGACAATTGCTAGGATTACCTTGAAAAAAGCAGTATTTTTGAGAAAGCGACCTTGGAAAAAAGTGACCAGGTCACTCTAAGTGACCAGTTTGAGCAGCTTGACAACGTATGCTCATATTTTAAATACTAAGTCTCGAAGCGTGTATAGCTTGCATAAAAAAAGTAAAAGCGTCTTGCAAAACCCATAAATACAACAATTTTGTTTCGGTTTTTAATAGAGTACATGCTGCGTTTACTTTTCGAGCAGAAACTAAAGAACTTTTCTAGTTCTTTCGTGCAGAATATAAATCATTAATTCGACTTCATTCAGCTCTCACTTCAATTTAATTGCCCTGAGATAGACCATATAGCCAATTAAACGGCACATCAATGCACATAAAACATACAACTGAAAAATAAAATGACTCATCAAAATACAAACGTTTAATTCATGTTAACAAACTCAGGCAAAAAAATTAGTTAGAACTCGATTCCTTTATAGCTTGCATGTATGATGACATACCTTCCAGAGCCTGTTTGTTTTTGGAGTAGCTGCAACCAAGAGAACAGCAATGTGTAAATAAAAAATTAACCACAATCGTCGTTCAGAAAAACTGGCAATGTATAATTTCAGTTTAAAAATACATCAAATTAGAGTTAATCATAGAAGAATAATAATGAAACATAATTTTCTTACAAATGGCGGAGTAGATGCTTGGGACAAGTCGAATGGCTGGATTGCATTATTCATCGAAGTATGATTCATCCCCCCTATGAGACTCATAGAACCCCCCGAATGAGGTGGCAGCACCTCATTTGCCCCTCCCCCGCTCAAGTGAGGGTTATTTGACGAGGACACTACTTGGGACATACATGTCGGGGGGAGGGGTGCGGCGGCTGACATGGCTTCTAACGAAGGGGGGATAGAGGATTGTAGGTAGCAGTAAGATGGTTCTGAGAATGGAGGGTGGGAGTTGAGTGCAGCAGCAGCCGCCGCGATTGAATCTGGGCTGGATTTGAGACGCATCACGTCAATTGTGTTCGCTGCATTGGAAGAGGGAGTCATGTTGTTGTTGTTGCTTGGTTTCCGAATTACCGACTCTAAACCAAAAAATGTAGATGATCAAACACCAATAAGTAGACCTGTATATAGAGACTCAAAAATGCTCCCAGGTCGAGAAATTATTTGTTTAATATTTTCTGAAACTTTTCTCAATTCACTAATGATTTTGTGAAAAAAAACTTCAATGAAAAAAGTACGCGAAATTTGTAAATTAATTTTAAAAAAATTCTAACCTTCAAATTCCAGCTCGATGTGCTGCGGGTAGTTGGACAACCTGAAACGAACAAACTATTTGTTTTTATGACTAAAACCTTTTAAAAAATCAAAAAGCTCAATTAGGTTATTGATCTGACTACTTCACGAAGGGAAGGACCTTTGGCGTATAGTCTGTCTCTTTTGCGGGTCGATTTTAGTTACCTCAGTGAAAAGTTTTCAAATGTGCCATCATAATAAAGCCCTATTGGTATTAGAATTCCACTAGAAAAAAAATCAAAAAGGCTGTCGAGAAAACGGGTCAGAAATTCCCTTTTTTTCAGACTAATTTCTTATTCCTTCTTAATCAGTTTATTCCTCATTTTTTGCATTGTTTTCGCTAATATTAGCTGTTGTTATATCTTATTAATCAACTCTAGAATCTCTTACCCCAAAGAAAGCAACCGAAAAATGGATGTCGTAAAGTAATACCAAAGGGGGACCCTTTGAATCACAACGGCTCCATATTATTTTAACTTTGAGGAGGAGCGCTTGTCAAAAGAGCGATATTATAGGTAAATGTGCAATCTGTCGGTCAAAACCTTCCAAAAAGTGCTCAAAACGGTCTTTTTGTCCTGTTTTTTCACAAATTCAACCTCAAGACCCTCCCCTCGGAAAACCTAGATCTGCCGCTGAACTCGTTGATTAGCACACATACTCTGTTAGGTGTTGCATTGCAGCTGGGTTGAAAGACATCTGCGAATTTGAGTTGTTGTTCATTTGTTGGTGGTGTGGGTTGTTTGGGTTGAAGAAAGACCAGAGAGAGGGTAAGTTGGGCTGCTCAGAGGTCAGCATAATTCGAAGGTCAGTCACAGTCAAGGTCAAATATTCAAACTCTGATTAATGTAATACAACAGGTGAAGGATGAAGGTAGAAAGGCCGAATTAATAAACAAAAGAACGATATCGGTTGTAAGCAAACAAGAACGCTAAGAACAACAGCAAAATCTGAAAATTCAGACAGGTTTTTGTTCGATTTTGTTATAATTAATAAGTGAAATGAAGATTGGTGAGTGAAATGAAAATGATTATATTATCTCAACAATCCGTGTATCTAATTCGTTTAAATGAGTGGTTAAATAAGTGCGATATCAAATGCTATCGGAATATTAATTGGTTATGATCTAGATTTTGAAGAAAAATAAATAATTAAAAAACGTACATGAAGTTGTGAGATTGCATAATAGATGATTAATGCTGTCAGAAATACAACTTGGTCCGTTTCAGAGCAAAAACAAAGAAAAATATAGTTATATGCTTCAGACGAGATGTAAAAGTAAGATTGGACTATGTAAGTAATTTACGACAAGGTACCAGAAAAATACTTGTTGAGTAATTCGATATTTTGGCTTGATTGCAATTTATTCTGCTCTAAAACCAATATGTGCTCAAATGTTTTTTCGCTAGATATATATTTGCTCAATCATTCGAATATATTTAAGTTATTTTATACTTAAACAATTCAATTATTATAAGCCAATACGTGGTGTGTCGTACACACGTGCCGCCGTGTGCCAAAATTCCGCTGAGGGGTATTAGTAATACTAATCAAAGAACTATGCAAAGGCAATAAAAAATATCACGTTCGTATGCTAGAATGCAGATGGTTTCTCTTCTGAGCTTGTGATCGTTAATTTCAGCAATAAACTAAAATGAAGGTTGACTTTTAAAATTGCATGCAAATCTCATTTATATCAATTTGAAGCAAATCAGATTACATGCACTTTTTGATTTTTTTTGTGTGGATTAATGTTTTGAGTTGAGAAAAATTTTATAATGGTCACTTTTCAAGCTTCAAGCAGCGTAAAAGTAAAATTAGAGGCTGAATTGAAGTTGGTTTGTTATCGATTTTTTAGCCGACGGAGCGAGCGTTGATATTTGACTCAATTGATACACGAGGCTAATTACTTTCATTAAGTTGGCTTTTGGTAATGCCGAAGTTACTTTGCGAACAGGTATTTTGCTTTTCATGGCGCATTAACTAATTGCTTGATTTGTCCAAAAGGAAATTCAACGCTGAATGCTCCTAATTGCTTTAATAGATTTCTCCTTATTTAATTAGTATATAATCAAACTTAGCTTGAATGAGTTTGAGTTTAATTTCGTGTCATGCGAAAATGAGCCTCAAATTTCATAGCAAGTCGCGCCATAATTAATGATGCTATGATTAAACATGACGCAGTTGTACACAAGAGTGTAAATGCCAAACATGTTCTTACTTACCAGCGGGATTCCCAGAAAAACCTATACTCCTGGCGAGTAAGGTAAACGGAACCAGCAATTTCAGCAGATGGCTGACATGGCGCCACAGAATTTGACACATCACTGTTGACGAGTTACGATCATGGCGTATATTGTGATTAAAATCTTTTTTCGTTTACAATCCGAGCGATTGCTCCTTGTTGAAATCTTCATTAAAAATGAAAATTTCCATCATAGTCTAATCTAACCCATATAACGTATTTTTATGTGTGTTTTGAAATGACGATCCAGGATTGTTCAAACCTGGTCTCTGCTTAACTAATTTTTCCAGTACATAAGCGATATTTTCTACCACGTACCATTGGGGACAGATCCATTTTCAAGATCCAAAAAAAAACAATGCGCTTTTTTCATTCCGAAATTTCCTCTAATATCTATCGCTGAGGAATCTGCAGCTAGTACTTAAACACACTTCGTATCTCAAAACCAATTATCCTCCTACAAAACTACGCATACAAGAGACATTAAGCAGTATTATACCGTTCTCAAGATACTCATCGCAGCCTATACCAAGATAAAGATAACGTATGAAGTTCTTCGTTTTCGGAAAGCAATTAATGACTCACCATAAAACTCTTAATGACCGCAGATTATTCATTGCACATTTCATAATCATTAAGATAACTTGTGACTGCTACTGCCGCAACAAATTCTTTTAGCTCGATAAACATCAATGTATTGTGCGGCTCGATAAACCTCAATGATATTAATTCTATTTTCAAGCCAGAAACATCACCAAATAATGTATGAAAACGAAAGCAATTGATCAATAAGTCGGAACCAGTGCAAAATGATTGCAAAAGTAATTCTCAGAAAACTCACATTTTTTAAAATTGGAGCGAGGCACCTTGGCTCTCATGTAAAAAACAGTGAAAATGAAAGCACAGATTAAGCCACAAACAAGAATTAACGGTTTCTCTGCAAGTCGCACCAAAGGTTCTAACCAATGGTAATTTAAATAAAAAAGTTTCAACTCGGAGAAGCTGAGCTACGCACCACTTGCGACACAAAACCCGAAAGCCGCTAAGTAAAAAAAATTCAAACCCTTAAAGTCGAAAAAACTAGACCTTTAAAATGAATGAGACTAGTTTTTCAACAAAAACATGCCAAAATAATAGAATGTGCAATCAGCTCCGAAAGAAAACTTTTCAAGCGGTAACAAAGCCGAACATACCTTAGCAGAAACCCTTTAAGCTGAAAAAAAATCAACAAGACTTCAGACTTATAAAAAGTTATTTAGTCACCCTAGCCCTCAAAACACTCACGGTCACGCAAAAAAAATTATTCGCTCGTCAAAAGACACAATATGAGGCCATCAAGCCGATTTAAAATAAGCCGAAATCTATCAAGCCAAAAAAAAATCAAGACTTCAACATTCAAAAATTAATAAGTCTCTCCCGCAATCAAAACCCACACACCTATACACAAAACAAAACTTTTCGCTTGTCGAACGACGCAATAATTTAGGCCGAAATAGCCGGGCAAAAAAAACTGAAAAAATTAAGACTTATTCAAAATTATTAAGTCCCCTCGCCCTCAAAACACACACACGTGCACACAAAGACTTTTTCGCTCATCCAACAATGCAATATGAGGCCTCAAATTTCATAGCAAGTCGCGCCATAATTAATGATGCTATGATTAAACATGACGCAGTTGTACACAAGAGTGTAAATGCCAAACATGTTCTTACTTACCAGCGGGATTCCCAGAAAAACCTATACTCCTGGCGAGTAAGGTAAACGGAACCAGCAATTTCAGCAGATGGCTGACATGGCGCCACAGAATTTGACACATCACTGTTGACGAGTTACGATCATGGCGTATATTGTGATTAAAATCTTTTTTCGTTTACAATCCGAGCGATTGCTCCTTGTTGAAATCTTCATTAAAAATGAAAATTTCCATCATAGTCTAATCTAACCCATATAACGTATTTTTATGTGTGTTTTGAAATGACGATCCAGGATTGTTCAAACCTGGTCTCTGCTTAACTAATTTTTCCAGTACATACGCGATATTTTCTACCACGTACCATTGGGGACAGATCCATTTTCAAGATCCAAAAAAAACCAATGCGCTTTTTTCATTCCGAAATTTCCTCTAATATCTATCGCTGAGGAATCTGCAGCTAGTACTTAAACACACTTCGTATCTCAAAACCAATTATCCTCCTACAAAACTACGCATACAAGAGACATTAAGCAGTATTATACCGTTCTCAAGATACTCATCGCAGCCTATACCAAGATAAAGATAACGTATGAAGTTCTTCGTTTTCGGAAAGCAATTAATGACTCACCATAAAACTCTTAATGACCGCAGATTATTCATTGCACATTTCATAATCATTAAGATAACTTGTGACTGCTACTGCCGCAACAAATTCTTTTAGCTCGATAAACATCAATGTATTGTGCGGCTCGATAAACCTCAATGATATTAATTCTATTTTCAAGCCAGAAACATCACCAAATAATGTATGAAAACGAAAGCAATTGATCAATAGGTCGGAACCAGTGCAAAATGATTGCAAAAGTAATTCTCAGAAAACTCACATTTTTTAAAATTGGAGCGAGGCACCTTGGCTCTCATGTAAAAAACAGTGAAAATGAAAGCACAGATTAAGCCACAAACAAGAATTAACGGTTTCTCTGCAAGTCGCACCAAAGGTTCTAACCAATGGTAATTTAAATAAAAAAGTTTCAACTCGGAGAAGCTGAGCTACGCACCACTTGCGACACAAAACCCGAAAGCCGCTAAGTAAAAAAAATTCAAACCCTTAAAGTCGAAAAAACTAGACCTTTAAAATGAATGAGACTAGTTTTTCAACAAAAACATGCCAAAATAATAGAATGTGCAATCAGCTCCGAAAGAAAACTTTTCAAGCGGTAACAAAGCCGAACATACCTTAGCAGAAACCCTTTAAGCTGAAAAAAAATCAACAAGACTTCAGACTTATAAAAAGTTATTTAGTCACCCTAGCCCTCAAAACACTCACGGTCACGCAAAAAAATTTATTCGCTCGTCAAAAGACACAATATGAGGCCATCGAGCCGATATAAAATAAGCCGAAATCTATCAAGCCAAAAAAAAATCAAGACTTCAACATTCAAAAATTAATAAGTCTCTCCCGCAATCAAAACCCACACACCTATACACAAAACAAAACTTTTCGCTTGTCGAACGACGCAATAATTTAGGCCGAAATAGCCGGGCAAAAAAAACTGAAAAAATTAAGACTTATTCAAAATTATTAAGTCCCCTCGCCCTCAAAACACACACACGTGCACACAAAGACTTTTTCGCTCATCCAACAACGCAATATGAGGCCTCAAATTTCATAGCAAGTCGCGCCATAATTAATGATGCTATGATTAAACATGACGCAGTTGTACACAAGAGTGTAAATGCCAAACATGTTCTTACTTACCAGCGGGATTCCCAGAAAAACCTATACTCCTGGCGAGTAAGGTAAACGGAACCAGCAATTTCAGCAGATGGCTGACATGGCGCCACAGAATTTGACACATCACTGTTGACGAGTTACGATCATGGCGTATATTGTGATTAAAATCTTTTTTCGTTTACAATCCGAGCGATTGCTCCTTGTTGAAATCTTCATTAAAAATGAAAATTTCCATCATAGTCTAATCTAACCCATATAACGTATTTTTATGTGTGTTTTGAAATGACGATCCAGGATTGTTCAAACCTGGTCTCTGCTTAACTAATTTTTCCAGTACATAAGCGATATTTTCTACCACGTACCATTGGGGACAGATCCATTTTCAAGATCCAAAAAAAAACCAATGCGCTTTTTTCATTCCGAAATTTCCTCTAATATCTATCGCTGAGGAATCTGCAGCTAGTACTTAAACACACTTCGTATCTCAAAACCAATTATCCTCCTACAAAACTACGCATACAAGAGACATTAAGCAGTATTATACCGTTCTCAAGATACTCATCGCAGCCTATACCAAGATAAAGATAACGTATGAAGTTCTTCGTTTTCGGAAAGCAATTAATGACTCACCATAAAACTCTTAATGACCGCAGATTATTCATTGCACATTTCATAATCATTAAGATAACTTGTGACTGCTACTGCCGCAACAAATTCTTTTAGCTCGATAAACATCAATGTATTGTGCGGCTCGATAAACCTCAATGATATTAATTCTATTTTCAAGCCAGAAACATCACCAAATAATGTATGAAAACGAAAGCAATTGATCAATAGGTCGGAACCAGTGCAAAATGATTGCAAAAGTAATTCTCAGAAAACTCACATTTTTTAAAATTGGAGCGAGGCACCTTGGCTCTCATGTAAAAAACAGTGAAAATGAAAGCACAGATTAAGCCACAAACAAGAATTAACGGTTTCTCTGCAAGTCGCACCAAAGGTTCTAACCAATGGTAATTTAAATAAAAAAGTTTCAAACTCGGAGAAGCTGAGCTACGCACCACTTGCGACACAAAACCCTAAAGCCGCTAAGTAAAAAAAATTCAAACCCTTAAAGTCGAAAAAACTAGACCTTTAAAATGAATGAGACTAGTTTTTCAACAAAAACATGCCAAAATAATAGAATGTGCAATCAGCTCCGAAAGAAAACTTTTCAAGCGGTAACAAAGCCGAACATACCTTAGCAGAAACCCTTTAA